CCCCCCCCCCCCCCACGGCTGGAGGGCTGACCCTCCCTTCCCTGTGCCCTCCCCCCCCCCAGGACCACGTGGTGAAGGAAGAGCTCCTGGGCGCCCTCTACTGCGAATTCATCAACCGGGTGAACGAGGTGGGCGTGGACGTCAACCGGGCCATCGCCCACCCGCACAGCCAGGCCCTCCTGCAGTACATCTGCGGCCTGGGAGCCCGCAAGGGCACCCACTTGCTGAAGGTAGGGGCTCTGCTACGTGCCGGTGGGGGCAGCGGGCTGGGGGGCCGGGGGCGACAGAAACCCTCCTTTGAAAGACCTTCCTCCACTTCGCAACCCTCTTGTTTTAGTGACCGTTCCAAGTTACAAACAGCCCTGGGGGGGGGAAAAATTACCTAGGACCGTGGCAGCGTTCCAGTGATCCCCTGATCAAAATCCAGGCGCTTGGGCAACTCACTCATCTTTATGACAGTCGCGGGGTTCCCGGGGTTACGGGGTTCCCCTTTTGCGACGGGACAAGCAAACTCGATGGCGAAGCCGGGTTCACGTAACGATTGCCCTGATTTGCTGAACGACGGGGTGGCAAGGAAAGTCACGGCTGAGCCAAAAACGTCCGTCGCTTACCAGGAACAGCGAACGGGCATTGCTCCGTTTTACAACCGTTTCCCACCCACCCCCGTTGTTCGGTGCATCACCACGGTGCAAAGCCGGTCAATACGTAACAGTTGCCAAAGGCCCAAATTGGGATCAGATGGCTGTGTGGCAGCTGCAGGTGCAGGAGGATTGGTTGGAAGTTACTATTTTCAGGGCCGTTGAACCGTCACTAAGTGAATGGCTGTAAGTCAGAGGTCCCCAAACTTGGCAACTTTAAGACTTGTGGACTTCCAGAATTCTGGGAGTTTGAAGTGAGACGGAGAAGGAGGAGGAAGGGGGCTGTGGGGTCCTTTGGACTCTCCGATCTGAGTTGTTTTCTTGTAGACATTTCATGACCCAACTAGGTAGCACCATCAGTGCTAGAAGGGGTGGGTTTTGCTCTCAGTTTAGATTGCCTTGTCAGTGAGAATTCTGGGAGTTGAAGTCCACAAGTCTTAAAGTGGCCAAGTTTGGGGGGGGCCTCCGCTGTAAGTTGAGGGTTGCCTTCATGTCTGTTGACAAGCAGGGGGAGAAAGTCCAGGGTGGGAGTCCAAGGACCTCTGCCTCCCCCAGACCCTCCTCCTTTAACCCCCATCCCCCCAAAGCGGCTCCCTCGCTTCTCCCCGGCCTCCGAGTGACCCCCCCTCCCCGTCTCCTCTTTCAGATCCTGAAGCAGAACAACACGCGGCTGGAGAACCGGACCCAGCTGGTCACCATGTGCCACATGGGGCCCAAAGTCTTCATCAACTGCGCCGGCTTCATCAAGATCGACACGGCCTCGCTGGGAGACAGGTGGGCGCGGGGGGTGGGATCCAGCAAGGGGGCAGGTCCTCGGCTGGGCGCGGCAGCTGCAGCGTCCCAGAAGAAGCATCCGCGGCTCCCGTCCCTCCACGCCAGGGGCTGCTCTCTCGCCAGGCCTTGGATGGGTGGTTGGTTGAACTATTTAAATTGGTATGCTTCCCCTTTGGGCAAAGGGGGGCTGTCAATTTATCAAATTTATTATTTATTCCAATCAATTTTATTTATTCCTCTGGTTGTTTTAGTAGTTGCCTTAAAAGGGGTGGGGGGGATTGGGAAGAGCCGTTTGGAAGCGAAAGTACATTCCAACTCTTTATCTTTAAAAGGTTGTAGCTAAACTACCGGAGCTTTTGCCCGCGAATATATTTAATTGGAGAACGGGGATGATGATACCCAGCCCATGAATGGGCTCAATTGAAGAAACACAAAAGAATCTTTGTGTTTTGATAGACAAATCTTTGTGTTTTGGGTGGCATTTTATACACTTAGTGCCGTATTTTGTTAAAACGCCATGCGAAACCAATCAATCTCCCCTGACGCTGCCTGTCTGGGTTCCCAGCACGGATTCTTACATCGAGGTCCTGGACGGCTCCCGGGTCCACCCAGAAACCTACGAGTGGGCGCGGAAGATGGCGGTCGATGCTCTGGAGTACGACGAGTCGGCCGAAGACGCCAATCCTGCCGGGGCCCTAGAGGAGATCCTGGAAAACCCGGAACGGCTGAAGGACCTGGACCTCGACGCCTTCGCAGAGGAGCTGGAGAGACAGGTCCGTAGAACCTCTTCCCCCGTCCCTCCTTCCCAGCCCAAGGGAAGGGTCTTCCTGGGCTTTTCTCCGGACGTTCACGGCCCCCCGCGGCGGGTTGGAGTAGATGACCTACAAGGTCTCTTCCAACTCTGTTCATCTGTAATCTGTCTCCTTTCCAGGGCTACGGTGACAAGCACATCACCCTGTACGACATCCGAGCGGAGCTGAGCTGCCGCTACAAGGACCTCAGGAGCCCCTATCGCTCCCCCAATTCTGAGGAGGTCTTCAACATGTTGACCAAGGAGACCCCCGAAACCTTCTACATCGGTAGGTGCACCCAATGCTTGTCACCTGGAGTGTAGCCAGGCTTTTGGGGACCTGAGACCAGGGTTTCTCAACATTGGCTACTTGAAGATGGGTTGGACTTCAACTCCCAGCTGGCTGGGGGATTCTGGGAGTTGAAGTCCACCCATCTTCAAGTGGCCAGCGTTGAGAAACGCTGCCTTAGACCTTCAAGTGACTTCGGGTAGTGAGCAGGTATGTGGGTGCAGGTAGTCTTTGACTTATAACCAGGGATTGGATTGCAAATATTTTTACTACCGTTTCTGTGGGCGTGGCGAGGTGCTGTGGCCATGTGACTGGGTGAGTGTGGCTTTTTTGTGCAACCCACCCCACAATCCACCCCTTTTAGCCTCCTGGGTGTAGTAAGACTCCGAGGAAGATCCCGGCACAGCTGATCATCGGAACAGCTGATCGTTGGGAGGGAGGAATAAAAAGAAATACCTTAAGGAGTGACTGGACGGGGGAGAACGCAGTCGGCAATGTCGCCCGTGCACGATAAGGACTGACTGGGCGGGGAGGGGCAGGGCCAGCCAGGCCCACAATTTGCCGGTTCTCCAAACTGTGCAGAATCATAACAACCAGTTCGATAGAACCAGTCTGAACCAATAGAATCCAACCCCCGCTTATAACCGTTCATTTAACGACTTCAAGAGGCAATGGGGTTTTTCTTTTGAAGACGTTTCGCTTCTCATCCAAGAAGCTTTTTCAGTTCTGACCCGATGGTGGGGAAGGGAAGGATTTATCCTCCTTGCAGACAGCTGGTCGTTTGCGTCCTTTTTAAAGAGCTGTTGAGGTCACCTGGGGGTTTCATCTGTGTCCTCAGGGTCACCTGAGTAGTGAAAATGGGTGTGGAGCCGCCTTGGAACGGCTGGAAAGTTGTTGAAACTGTTGCCAACAGACCCAAGGAGGGTCCACACACCCATTTGCACGACTCCCAAGTGGCCTCAACGACCCTCCCAGAGGATGCAAATGACCAGCTGCCTGCAAGGAGGATCAGTCCTTCCGTTCAGTCCCACCATCCACAGTCGGAGCTGAAGAAGCTTCCGGGATGAGAAGCAAAACGCCTTCAAGGAAAAACCCAAAAAAGTCAGGGAAAAACAGCACCTTTGGGACAACCAGGATTGGGAATCTCCACAGACATTCATTTAATGACCGTTCAGAATTGACGATGGGACCGAGAATAGTGACTTACAACGTTTCTCACACTTATGACCGCTGCACCATCCCCATGGTCAAAATTCAGCCAGTCGACCACTGACTCTCATTTATGACAGGTCGCAGCATCCCGTGTGCCAAGCCCAAGTCAACGGGGATGCCGGATTTGCTTAATGACCCGTTAATACCATAAAAAAATGCGATGATTCCCTTAACGGCGGCAAGGAAGGTCGTAAAACGGGGCAAAACTCACAGGACCGCCTCGCTTAGCCGAGGAAAATTGGGGCAGGACCCTCCAAAGGCAGGAGCCCGGTTGGCCCGCTTTCTCGGTCTCTGCCCAGGTGGCCCCCCCGGCCCGGCCCCGGCAGGAGCGAGGAGGGTCTTCCCCCGCTCCCCCTTGCTCTGAGAGAGGTGGGCTTTGCGCAGCTCCTGCCTGCCTTGACCTGAAGGCTCCTCCTCTCCGCAGGTAAACTGATCATCTGCAACGTGACGGGAATCGCCCATCGACGCCCGCAAGGAGAGAGCTACGACCAGGCCATCCGGAACGACGAGACGGGGCTCTGGCAGTGCCCCTTCTGCCAGCAGGACAACTTCCCCGAGCTGAGCGAGGTAACCCCCAGCCCTGCCCGCCCCCCCACGCAGTTCTTTTTTGGGGGGGAGGGCCAGGGAGGGCCGTCCTTCCTTCCTTCCTCGGCTGCTTGAAAGCTTCTGAAGCCGTCCTGAACCCCATCACCACCTACTGGGATTAATCGAGTCGGAAGGGACCTCGGAGGTCTTCTAGTCCAACCCCCCGCTCAAGCAGGAGACCCTGTGCTATTTCAGGCGGGGGGCTGCCCAGCGTCTTCTTGAAAACCTCCAGTCATCCACAACTTCTAGAGGGAAACTGTTCCACCGCTTAATGGTTCTGACCGCCAGGAAAATCCCCCTTCGTTCCAAGTTGGATCTTCCTCTGGCTTCGGTTCCTAGAATTCCCCAGCCAGAAGGCTTTGAGATGGGTAAAGAATCCTAGGATTGGAAGGCACCTTGGAGGTCTTCTAGTCCAGCCTCCAGGAGACCCTACGCTGCTCTAGGCACCTTGGCTGCCCAGCCTCTTCTTAAAAACCTCCAGTGATGAACCCGCCCACAACCTCTGGAGGCAACACGAATGAATTGTTCCTCCTTAATTCTAGGTTGGGTCTCTCCTTGTTTAGTTTCATTCCGTTGCTTCTTGTTCTGCCTTCGGGGGCTTTGGAGAGAAGGTTTTTTGGGGGGACGGCCCCTCAGATACCAGAATGCTGCTGTCATGCTCCCCTCCTCCCCCCCAAGTCCCTCTCTTCATTAAACTAGCCATGTCCAATTCCTGCAACTGTTCTTTGTAATATTTTAGCCTCCAGCCCCGTAATCATCTTTGTGGCTCTTCTCTGCACTCTTTCCGGGGTCTCCCCATCTTTTGAAATGGTGTTACGAGTTTATTGCAGAAATCACACCCAGAAAGCGCACCGGTGACTGATTCAGCAGGATTGATTAACCTCTTTATATACATAATAACGTATTAAGTAAAGTTTACAATACCAATAGGAGCTTCTTCCATCTGGTAGAAAGTTACAGGCCAAACACAAGCAGAGAAGCCAAGTAGTTTCGCTTCAGTTTCAGTGGGCAAGCAACAAAGTTTCACTTTCTTCAGAGTTGAGAGCAGGGAGCTAAGCCAGGCCCAGACTCCTTAAGCGTTGAAGCCAGCTCCCGTTGGCTGGCCTTGTGAACCATGTCTCTGCCAGTCCAGGAACACACTGGCAAAACGGGGAGGGTCTCCCTGGGTCCCTCTTGCCACCCTCCGGAAGGTGCTGCGTTCGTGGAGACCAACTCATGGAGGTCACACCAGGACTCTTGTGATTGCTTTAAGCCACCAGGCTGATGCAACACCTCTGCTCTGTCCAGGTGTGGAACCATTTTGACAGCGGCTCCTGCCCCGGTCAGGCCATTGGGGTCAAAACCCGCCTGGACAACGGTGTCACCGGTTTCATCCCCACCAAATTCCTCAGCGACAAAGTGGTCAAACGGCCGGAGGAAAGAGTCAAGGTATGTTCTGGGCAGTTCAGCCCAGGCGGCTCCGGTCAGCGGCTGGTCAGGATGTCCGGGGTCTCTCCCTGGCCCCTGCCGTGCCCCAGGCTGGCCCCAGACCCCTCCCACCAAGCAGGGATCTGGCACTGTTTTACCGCCACGCCCGTCCCCTCTTCCCAGCATGCTTCCACTCTGCCCTTTGGCCAGACGGTGGGGAGGCTGGCCAAAATAATCAGCGGGCAGGGACCGGCCAGAACTTGCTTTCTGGCTGGGAACAGGATCTCCAGCGTGGAAGACGGGAAAGCCAAAAACCCCCCTCTGGATTGGGAAGGGGTGGGGGGCGTCCCATTTTCCCAGCCAGAGCGCCGGATGTTTGTGCAGCTCCTTGGCTGGCGATTGGAGCCGTGGAGGGAGGGCTGGGAGGGAGCGGGACGTGGGGCAACGGGCAGCCTCAAACTCTGCAAGGCCGGAGACCCCCTGGAAAGGCCCCGCAGCCGGTGCCCAGGCCGTGTGGCGCAAAGCCTTGGCTTCCCCCCGGGGTGGACGACCAAAGTCCTTTCTCTCTCTCGGGCTGCAAAGAGGGAAAGTTAGCCTAGTTTTGAACCTTCTCTGCTTCTGAAGCGGAAGCCACTCGTGACTTTACAGGAGGGCAAAAGCGGGAAGGGACCTCGGAGGTCTTCTAGTCCAGCCCCCCAAACTTGGCGACTTTAAGACTTGTGGACTTCAACTCCCAGAATTCTTGGAGTCCAGAAGTCTTAAAGCTGCCGCGGTTGGAGGCCTCTGCTCTACCGTTCCAGACTGGTGGCTGTCCAGTCTCCTCTTGAAAACCTCCAGTGATGGATCACCCGCAGCTTCCGGAGGGAATCCCTTCCACCGATTAAGTCCCAGCCTGTTTCTCTCCTTCCACCCCTGCCAATCCTCTGGCATCGAGGCACACCCCTGGGTTTGAGAGGGGCCTGTTCTCTATCCTGTCCCCCCCAAACGCCGAACTTTGTCCTGAGCGCAGCAGCTTTGATGGACGCGTGAAGTTCACAGAAGAGGGGAGGGTTGCGTTCGGCCGCGTTTCGGCTGCTCCAGAGGCTCCGTCTCCTCCTCTGCCCCCCCCTCAGCCATGAGGAACCGGGAGGGCGAACCTATGGCACCCAGAGCCGTTTCTGCCGGCCCACGAGCCGTCGCCTGGAACTGATCCCCTGCGCATGGACGCGCACACAACCCCCTGCCAGCCAGCGGATTGTTGGGTATCGGCCAGGCGTGCGCAGGAGGAGACGCGTGTGTGCACATGCACCGGGGAGGCAGGGGCGCCGTGTGGGCATTGCGTTATGGGTGCAGATGTGCCTGTGCATGATGAAAAGCTTAGCCATCCCTGTGATGGAACCACCCACTCGACAAGGAGAGAGACCCCCACGGAACGGTTCCTGGAAGGACCACCCCTTGGAGACTGTCCACAGGGGGGGCTTGGATGAAACCATCAGAGCTACGAAAGCATCCAGCGGGACCAGGAGGGCTCTGCTCCCCACAGCGTCACCGAGGAGGGTGACCCATGCGCTTTCCGACCCGGAAGGGCCCCGAGGACCCTCCCTTCCCTGAGGTGTTTAGATGGGCCAGCCCATTGAGTTGGTGGGTCAGGACCCCAACCCATCCACCCCCCCGTTCACATCAAAAGTCCCCAGCCTCATCTCAGAGAAAAGACAATTGATTTAGTAGAAGCCGATACTAAATCCCGTCATACATTTCCCCCTTGACCCCGGTCTTCCCCCCACCCCCCGGATGTGGCTTCTCCAATGGGACCCATCCGTCTCCAAGAGGCGTCCATCATGCTCTCCAATAACCGCCTTCCCCCCGCCCACGCGCTCGTCGCCTCTTTTATCCTCTCAGCTGATCCTCAGAGGAACCGGTTTGGCCGACCAGGTGGTGGTGGTTTTTACTACCAGTTCAGCCCAAACAGTGGTGATTTTCGCTACTAGTTTGCCCGAACTGGACCAAACCAGTAGCAAACCATCGCCGGTTCATTCAACCGGCGGGACGACTGATTTCAGCGCGCATACGCCGTGTTTTAAAAAGCCCATTTTCATCTCTAATACTTAGCAGCCCCTGTGAGTAAAACAGCTGAGGCGCGGCAAGACAACTCTGCCGTGTGAATCAGCCATGCTCCAACCTTGGCGACGTTTAAGACTTGCGGACCTGAACTCCCAGAATCCCTTGGCCAGCAAAGGAACTCTGGGAGTTGGAGTCCACAAGTCTTGAAGTGGCCGAGGTGGGAGACCCCTCCTCTAAAAAACGAAATAAAAGACAGGCAAGAGCAGGGGCCAAGTGATCGCCGGAACTACTGGTTCGCTCGAGCCGGTCTGGACCGGTTGAATCCCAGCCCTGGACAAGCACCACCTTCCCTGCATGACGGTGGTGACCTCAGTCGCGCTTACCCCCCCCTCCCCCTCCTCCTCCCTCCACACACGCAGGGGGGGAACGTCTTGGTCCATCTAGAATCCCTCCTTCCCTCCCTCCCCCGGCAGGTGGGGATGACCGTCCACTGCAGGATCATGAAGATCGACATTGAGAAGTTCAGCGCCGACCTGACCTGCAGAACCTCGGACCTCATGGACAGGAGCAACGAGTGGAAGCTGCCCAAGGACGCCCACTACGACTTTGCAAATGAGGCCGCGGACCACAAGCAGGACGAAGAGCTCAAGAGGAAGCAGCAACGGACCAGTGAGTCCACGGGGGGGGCTGGGGGGGGGCTGGCCCTCCCTCCAACCTGGGGGAAGGAGGGAGGGAGGGAGGGGGGGCAGGTGGACCTCCCGCCGGAGAGCATCTGCCAATGGCGGCCTGGCCTCTCTCCTCCCCGCAGCGTACATCAAGCGGGTGATCGCCCACCCCTCCTTCCACAACATCAACTTCAAGCAGGCCGAGAAGATGATGGAGAGCATGGACCAAGGCGACGTCATCATCCGGCCCAGCAGCAAAGGGGAGAATCACCTGACGGTCACCTGGAAGGTCTGCGACAACATCTACCAGCACGTGGACGTGCGGGAGGAGGGCAAGGAGAACGCCTTCAGCCTGGGCTCCACCCTCTGGATCAACACCGAAGTGAGTCAGTGGGGGGGAGGGGGGGAGGGGTTGGAAGGGACCCTGGAGGTCTTCTAGTCCAACCCCCTGCTTACAGGGAGGAAACCCTATACCCCTTCCGACAAACGGTTGTCCGATCTCTCCTTAAAAACTTGCCACATTCGCGACTCCGGAAGGCAAGTTGTTCCTCTGTCGAATTGTCCTCCCCTCCTTAGTTCTAAGCTGTTTCTCTCCTTGGTTACTTCTTTCCATTCTGTCGCTTCTTGTCCTGCCCCCGGGGGGCTTCGGAGAACAAGCCGATCCCCCCTCCCCACCTCTTCTCCCGTGGCAGCCCCTCCAATATTGGGAGACGGCGACCATATCACCCCCCGGTCCTCCTTTTCATGAGACAGGAGGCATCCTTCCGTCTCACGGGACAGTCGTGTCGTCCTCTGAAAAGAGGTCCCAAAAACAGCGTCCGGTGTGGCTAAAAGGGCCCACCTGAGAGCATCCATCCTTTCCACCCTGAGGACAGAAACAGTCTCCCCCCTGTCCAGCCCCCGGATTTCGCTGGTTCCGGGACTTCATCCGAACAGACAGACCCAATGCCAGCTCCGTTCTTTATAGGTTTCATCCCTCTCAGGACACTGCCCTTCTGACGGGAGTGGGCCCAGTGACATTTCATGACCTCTTCCTAATTCTGGACTTTCCTTTGATGTACCTCCCTTGGACCGGAGGGGAGGGGGGAGGGATGAGCCTGGGGCCACCTGTTTTGTCTCCGATCACCTGCCAACCACTTCTTAGCGCCTTCTTAGCTCGAAGTTCCCACCTCACCCCTGGGGATTGGCTCGCTTCGGACTGGACGCAGGGGAGGGGTACCTTTAAGTGTTGTACCTGATGATTCTGGACTCTTTTGACAAATGGATCTTTTATGTACACTGAGAGCATTTGCACCAAAGACAAATTCCTTGGGTGTCCAATCACGCTTGGCCAATAAAAGAATTCAATTCTATCCTATTCCTATTCTTATTCTTATTCTTATTCTTATTCTTTATTCTATTCTATTCTATTCTATTCTATTCTATTCTCTATCCCATCCCATCCTATTTAAATTCTATTCCTATATCTTTCTATTCTATTCTATTGTACCCTCTGACTATCATTAAGTGTTGTACCTGATTGATTTTTGACTCTCGAAGAATGTATTTTTTCTTTTATGTGCCCTGAGAGTATTTGCACCAAAGACAAATTCCTTGTGTGTCCAATCACGCTTGGCCAATAAAATAGTTCTATTCTTTTCTATTTTTGATTTTATTCTATTCTATTCTATACTATTTCTATTCTATTCTAATTCTATTCTATATTCTGTTCTCATTCTATTCTATTCTAATTTCTATTCTACTCTATTATCCGGCTCCATCCCATCCCATCCCATTTAAATTCTATTCCTATATCTTTCTATTCTATTCTATTCCATTCTATTCTATTGTACCTATGACTATCATTAAGTGTTGTACCTGATTGATTCTTGACTCTTGAAGAATTTATCTTTTTATGTGCACTGAGAGCATTTGCACCAAGACAGATTCCTTCTGTGTCCAATCACACTTGGCCAATAAAAGAATTCTATTTTCTATTCTATTCTATATTCATTGTATCCTATGACTATTATTAAGTGTTGGACCTGATGATTCTTGACTCTGATGAAGGTCTCTTTTCTTTTATGTGCACTGAGAGCATTTGCACCAAGACAAATTCCTTGTGTGTCCAATCACACTTGGCCAATAAAAGAATTCAATTCTATTCTTATTCTTATTCTATTCTTTATTCTAATGTCTACTCTATTCTATTCTAACGTTTTCGAGCGGGAACTTCAGATCCTGCCTGTTCTCATCGCTGTCACTTACCTCCCAAGAAAACCTCCTGTTGAATTGCTGTCTGTTTCAAGACTTCCGCTTCGTGAGGGAGGGGACGGGGAGGCAAGAGCTAACAGGGTTCCCCCCCCCCCATTCTTCTTTCCTTCCCCAGGAGTTTGAGGACCTGGACGAGATCGTGGCCCGCTACGTCCAACCCATGGCCTCCTTCGCCCGGGATTTGCTCAGCCATAAATACTACCAAGATTGCAGCGGAGGAGACCGGAAGGTGGGTGGGGGTGGGTGGGCCGGGCAGAAATCCCTTCCCGACAAGCGTTCCATCTTTGACGTATAATGTTATTTTACTCAAAATGAAGTTAAAATAGAAACACAAAAAAAAAATGGATACACAAAAGAGAAACGAAGAAAGAAAAGAGACGGTATATTAAACCAAAAAGTCCCCTGGAAAAAAACATACATGCATAAACACACATTGTCTCCACCAGTCACACACACTCCCTCTGGGGGTGTCTGGATATCCACTATAAAACGTGTATGCAAAATGACAGTGACGGTGAATCCCGTATCTCAGAGACGGCTACGCCCAGGCTAATGCCGGAATGTTAACTTCCAATAAATCCTTTTTAGTTTTAGGAGTGTGGTTCGAGGCTCGTGATTTAATCGGAATAACTGCCAGAATCCTGACGCTGGGTAGTGTAAGATATTCATCGGTCAAATCCTGGTTGAATATATTACGATCGTGCCGGTCTCCCGCCCTTCTTCCGAGGGGTCAGCTTGGCCAAAGCGGTCTAGCTGAGCTGCACCTCTCTTCATCCAGGGCAGGTGGGATTAAAAGGCCTCAGCGGAGAACCTTTGTAAGAGGTTTTCGTGGGTCGGAAGTGGCGCTCTCCGTTTCCTTCTGGGTTCGGGCTGTAGCAGATGACCTCAGCTCTCCCCTTCTGGAGCTTCTTGGGGTGGGGGGGGCAGAGCTGGGCTGGCATCCCATCCCAGACCTCAGTCTGGTGTTCCCTGCTGGGTCCACTTCTGTGGGCAGCAGCTGGCGTAACCCTCTTCCACCAAGGAACTCGGAGTTTTGCGGGCCTTGCTGACGATGGTCATCGCCTTGGACACGGGAAGGAAATTCTGTGGCTCCTGAGGGTGACATCCACACACCCGCACACCGGTTGTCAGGATTCCGGCAGTGACCCCCCACCATTTAAATCCCGAGTCTCGAGCCAAACTTCAAAAGAATTTATTGGGAGTTGACATGTTCAGCATTGCCTGGGTGTAGCCGACTCTGAGACACATCATTCACTGTCACCCTCGACCCTGGTTTTCGGTCCCCCCCCCCCCCCCCTGGGTGTTTCCTAACTCATATCCTCCAACGGGACACGTCCATAGCCCAGAGTCATCCATCAGGCTCTCCAGTTAGAATTTTGCGCACAGCAGAAACTTCAGTCACCTGGTTACTATCTTTGAAAAAAACATTGACGGAATGCCCTTTCGATTTCCAAGCTGCCGCACTGCTCCTCCCCCTCCCCCTTTTTCTGTTATGGCCGCTCTTAAAAAGACCCCGGCGACATTCGATGAGTTGGCATTGGCCTTTAGCACGGGGCTCCCCGAGGGCCCCCAGGGAGGGCAGAGCCTCCCCGTTCGGGGCAATGCCAGTCACCGCCTCCCGTCTCTTGGTCCGTCTCGTCTTCTCCTCAGAAACTGGAGGAGCTGCTGGTGAAAACCAAGAAGGAGAAGCCCACTTTCATCCCCTACTTCATCTGCGCCTGCAAGGACCTTCCGGGGAAGTTCCTCCTGGGCTACCAGCCGCGAGGGAAGCCAAGGTGGGCCTGGGACCCCCCCCAACCCCCCACCCCACTCCGGGCCGGACAGTCAGGCTCGGCCCAGCGGCCTTTTCAGCGGGGTCTCCGGGGCTGACCCCAGGGCCCCTTGCAGGCAGAGTGGAGGTCCTGCTGACGAGGGAAGCCCCTTCCCCGGGCCCCCTTTCCCCCCCCCCCCAAGGCTGGTCACGGGCTGACTTCCTCTCTCGGGAGCTGGGGGGCCACCGCTGGTCTGCGTGATTTCGGGAACCCGACGTGTGGAATCCCCTGCCTGCCCCCCCTCCCCCCCCTCCAGTCTCTGCCCTTCTGGCCAAGAGGCAAGCCTGAATCAGAAGGGGTGGGCAGGGGGGTGTCCCACTCTTCTCCCCCCCACCCGCCCACCCCAAGACTGGCCCTGCTGTCCGTGCTGGCCAGAGTTGGCACAAAATTCTCTTGCCCCAGAATCGAGTATGTGACGGTGACGCCGGAGGGATTCCGCTATCGCAACCACGTCTTCCCCACCGTCAACGGCCTTTTCCGGTGGTTCAAGGATCACTACCAGGACCCTGTGCCAGGTAAGGCCCAGGTGCACTCGACTGCCCCCACCAGCCAGGCTCCTCCACGCAAAGGCTGTGGCCTGAATCTCAACCGGGTGAAGGCCGGGCAGCCAAGCCTTCCCTGCCTCTGCCCGGAAAGATGGTTTTATTTATTTGATTGATTGATTGATTGATTGATTGATCGACTGATTTCAATAGCTGTCCATCTCAGCAAACGAGGCCTTCCCCTCCTTTGCCGGGAATTATGTTATTTTATGTTTTTTTTCATTTATGATTTGATTTGATTTGATTACCTGCCCATCTCAACAACCAATTCTGGGCAGCTCACAATTCAAAAACATTACAATATCCTTACAAAAGCATTTTAAAGCAGTAAAAGCA